ACAAAACGCCAACACACCTCAAAAGAACCAATTCAAAGCACAGATGAGCAAAGATTCCTCTCAAGCTTTCAAGCCAGTATTTAAATATAATTTCCATAGCAGTTTATGACCACAAACTGACACTACCATAAAATTTCAGATACAATAAAACTATTAATATCAATGTTCTCAGGAAAAAAGACCGTCAAATATAGAACAAAGGGGAAATAAAAAGGAAAAAAGAAAAAAGAAAAAAGAAGCATCCCAATCACTCTCCTGCTACAAACATCCTACTGAAAGAGATGGTTGAACCAAAGATTAGGCAAGGCGAGGATGGATTTCGACTGATTTTCTGCCCACCACATATACAGAACACCATTGCCATTGCAAGCAAAGCCTCTCATATGGATGAAAAGCTATGATACATCAACATCAGAATCTACTCCGTCCTTCACTGACCCCACCTCAACGCATATCGTTGCCAACCAAACTGACTTCACATGACATGACACGAAAATCCAACTAAATTGAAAAATAACTCACCATCAAAACATTTGTAGAACTCAGAAGCACTTCCTGTGGACAATGGATGGACCAGACTCATCGTACTCACCCTTGGAAATCCACATCTAATCCATCGCAAGAAAAGAAAAAAGAGCATATCAGTCTCAAGCAAAAACTATAAATAGCATAGGAATAAAAACAATGAAGGAAAGGAAATCATAAACAAATAAGAGATACGACGATGATAATCACCTGCTGGAAGGTACTGAGGGATGCAAGGATGGACCCTCCAATCCAGACACTGTACTTTCTCTCTGGTGGAGCCACAACCTTAATCTTCATGCTGCTTGGAGCAAGAGCAGTAATCTCCTTGCTCATCCTGTCTGCAATACCGGGGAACATAGTTGACCCACCACTGAGCACAATGTTTCCATATAGGTCTTTCCTAATATCCACATCACACTTCATGATAGAGTTGTAGGTAGTCTCATGAATTCCAGCAGCTTCCATTCCAATGAGTGATGGTTGGAAGAGAACTTCTGGGCACCTGAATCTCTCAGCTCCAATTGTGATTACTTGGCCATCGGGAAGCTCATAGTTCTTCTCTACTGAAGAGCTGCTCTTAGCAGTCTCAAGTTCTTGCTCATAGTCCAGGGCAACATATGCGAGCTTCTCCTTCATATCACGGACAATTTCCCGCTCAGCAGTGGTGGTGAACATGTACCCTCTTTCAGTGAGAATCTTCATCAAGGCATCTGTGAGGTCACGACCAGCAAGGTCCAGACGAAGAATGGCATGAGGGAGGGCATAACCTTCATAGATTGGCACAGTGTGACTCACACCATCACCAGAGTCCAGCACAATACCTGTACAATGGGAAGCTCATTCAATGCCAGAACAATAATAATAAGATATCAAGATTCAGACTCAGCAAATAGGTGATACGAACCAGTTGTACGGCCACTGGCATACAGAGAGAGAACGGCCTGGATGGCAACATACATGGCAGGCACATTGAATGTCTCAAACATGATCTGCGTCATCTTTTCTCTGTTAGCCTTAGGGTTGAGAGGAGCCTCAGTAAGAAGAACTGGGTGCTCTTCAGGAGCAACACGAAGCTCATTGTAGAAAGTGTGATGCCAGATCTTCTCCATGTCATCCCAGTTGCTTACTATACCATGTTCAATGGGATATTTCAAGGTAAGGATACCTCTCTTAGATTGGGCTTCATCACCTACATAGGCATCCTTCTGACCCATACCAACCATAACACCAGTGTGTCGTGGTCGACCAACAATAGAAGGAAACACAGCCCTGGGTGCATCGTCACCAGCAAATCCAGCCTGCATAATTAGTCATAGTATATGACAACGGTTTAATTAAAGCTTCAATTAAACTTCAATGCATAAAGAACACAAAAGAGGCAAATAAATGACACTTACCTTCACCATTCCAGTTCCATTGTCACAGACAAGGGGTTGAATGTCCTCAGCATCAGCCATCTTTTATAAACCTGAAACCAAGACATACAGAATTAATACAACAGAAACATACTACATAAGTGAAATCATATCAGTGATCAAAATGCCATGCCATGTTTACTGTCCAATATCTTGTCAGTTAATTTAGTTCGTGTATAACAAAAAGGTAATCATTCTCATTATTCCTTTGTGCATTATAAGTCCCTTACATTGTCATTCATAAAGAATCACCTTAAAAAACCTCATGCACACTACTCCTACAATATGTTATTCAATTCAATACACAACACACGCTGATGAATACTGCCTAAAGTTTTAGATCCCATTCATCATAACCAGCCAAAAAGCAAACAAGACAATCTAACCATCACTACCATAAATAAAAGAGACTTTTTTTTCAATATTATCCCGATGGCTTAGATAGATTGCTACTACAATGCTCAATCAGCAAAATGAACATCTTTTTCTTCTTCTTTTTTCAAAACAGCTCACTCTAATTCCTACTTCAAGCACACTGTTTATCCTGGGTTTTTATTTTTCACAGGCAATGAAAAAGGCTTGCATGAGACTTAAATCTCAACCATCAGAGTTCAAATTCAATGCTTTCACTGAACATATGAACAAATCAAAGCATATCAAATTCCAACTAATTAACACATACAGATCTAAAAGAAAAGAAAAACAGAGATATGCAAAACAAAGCAGATCAATAGCATTAGATCCAATGAAGAGAGCACCAGATCAAACTACAAAACCACCTCAATACAAAGAAATATTCAAAATGACAATCTACTAAAGCGATCGGTCAAGGAGACTACAGATCACTAAGCTCATCCAAGATTTAACTCCAACAATCACAAACACACAAGAATCGGCAGCAAATCTTCCAGATCAGACACAAATGAAGTCCAATCTACTCGTCACTTACAAATCAAGACCAAACAAAAAAAACAACACGCAGAGAATTTCAAACTACGAACACACAGAAATTGCAGAGATCCACTTAGATTACCTTGAAGACGAAGACAATCGAAGACGAAGATGAAGAATAACCAAGCCAACCTCTGCAGACGAAGGCTTGGCTGTGTCTCTCTCTCTTCTTCAAGGCTGACTAGAAATGGTCGAAATGAAAACCGAGCAGAATTAGGGTGAGCCTGCAATGAGAGAGGTGCGTATATATATAGCTCCGGGTTTTGAAATGCACATGAAATTTGGACCAAATTAAATGTTGCATATTTTTATTTTATTTCCACTTTTTCTAAATTTTAATTTTTTTGGAATTTTATTTTCTGGGTGAAGAATCATTTCGACCACGAGAAAAGATAGGGTGACCTGGCTGACAGCCTTTTCTCCAAATCCTCCTACTTAACCCATGTTCTGTTCGATTGGGGATGTTGGTTTTTTTATTTAATCTCAGCCGTTTGATCTGATGCTTCCTCCTCTTGATTGCCACGTCAGCTTCCGGTCCGTATGGTTCGCGTCATGATTCAGAATCTCCGCGATTGTATTGGTCTGTCCTTGACATTAATATCCATTGCAACAGGTGCTGTTTGGCTTGACTCGGCTCGGTTAGGCTCGGCTGTTGCCTTTTTTGGGGGTTTGGTGGGTTTCCTTGCTTCGACTCAATCGCGCGCCGGCCAGTTTCGCACCAAAACACTTCAAATTTCAAAATCAATGCAAACCAACCAACCAATTTAACAGATGCCACATTTTATCCTAGAATGATCCTTACGTTGTCACGAGCGCGTGGGCAGTCCGGCAGAGGCCACATTTTATCCTAGAATGATCCTTACGTTGTCACGAGCGCGTGGGCAGTCCGGCAGAGGCCACATTTTTTCTTCTATCAAAATCATTTTGCTCAATTAAAAAAAACACACACACCCGAGTTCAAATCCCCCTTCCCCTCATTTAGATTACAATAAAGTGGAATATCGTTTGTGATCAAACAAAAAAATTAGAAGAACCCAACACTACCCAACCAGAATTTCCTAATTACAAAAATAAAATAAAATAATTTTAAATACTACTACAATTTTAGCTTATACCGACGAACTAATGTTGGCGAAAGAGCAGTTCAGCCAGAACTGGGACCCAATATTACTGGCAACGTAAAGTGATTTGTCACTACTAAATAATACTGACAAAGTCTTTTGTCATTAATAAATTTACTGGCAAGCCACTGCACCAATCCCTTCTAGCGCGAGAAGCGAAATTATTAAGCACTTTAATTGTTAGACATCAGGAAGCCAAATCTTGTTACTGACGAGTTCAATTGACAATACTATTCTTAAATATAATTTTTAACTTCAATTTTTTACTATTGATATATGAAGTATTGGATCTAAAAAATATATTAGAGGAGAGGGGATTCGGACACTGAAACTTTTGTTAGAAAAGCAATTCTAGCACTGGACCTTGTGTAGATAAATACAAGCGATATTAGAGATTAAATTTATGCCCTGAATTTAATCTCTCTCTCAATCTGAATCAGAAACCCCAATTGAGAAGAGCAAAGAAAACTCCCAAATTTAATCTCTCTCTTTCAATCTGAAA